GGGGTGGGGCTTGGGAGGGGCAGGGGGTGGGGTAATGTCCATATTTGTTTTTTGCATGGACAAGAACATGTTTAACATTTGAACAGGTTGTATATAAAGTATTCGGCTTCTGCATTCCAGTGTTTTATTCCTGTATTTATGTTGTAAACAATTTTGGGCCACACTATAAATGTATATTCTGTATAGATGGCATCGCTGTGTGAGTTTCCATTACTGGCCTCTTCTTTCTGTGCAGGGAATCGGGGGAGCGTAGACCATGGAATAGTCTCTGCAGTACATTGACATTTCTCTTCTGTTCATTCAAGGACAAGGCGGAGATCTACACTCTCTGACCCTTCAAGTCCTGCTCCTGACGACTGCGCTATAACCCAACGTTCAGAGATATTACTTCTCCGCTGGGTCCTTCAGTGAACGGAAGAGTAAAGGATTTACAGCGAGTACAAAATATCCTGCAAGTACATAAAAATGTCTGGTGAGCTGCTAACCCCTTAAGCTGACCATGCTGCCTCAGTTGTACCAAAGTTCAGCCAGTGTTGTCAGCCCGGGCCAGTTGTCTGCTGCATTGCAGAAACACTCACTCACTCACTCACTCACTCACTCACTCACTCACTCACCATGTGTCAGAGAGGAGGAGGTGAGAACTCCAGACAGTGCTTTTGCTCAGACATGCACTTTAAAGCTTTACAGCATACGTGCACTCGTAGCAGTTGACAGCACATGTTTACTTCTCTTACACAGCACATGCTTACATTGGCATTTTTTAGGCTGCTGAGGAGATCTATGGTAATCCGGGATGGCTTCAGAGTCTTGCTGTTCATTGTTTTGTGTACCCCTGATAAAACTTTACAGAGCTTTATCTAAATGCCAATAGCAGGAGTTGGTTCTTCCGGGCAGATTTTCGAGGGGTGGCATCTCTCAAGATGGTCGAGATTAGATTATATTAGACCACCCCTACACCCTTCAGTGCTGGTGGAGCATTGGTCACGTGATCGGTGATGGCCTTTGACCTGATCTGTCAGAACAAAGACCTTCTATTGAGTTATTGCTACAACACCGGTTTGTGTGACCAGAACCAGAGAAGTCACAACAGCCCCCGGGGATGGTATGTCCCTGGTCAGCTTCCTGTGTCGGCTGCGGCTGTAAAGGAAGCTGGTATTGGCAATGCCTTGGGAAGGTGGCATTGTCTCTGTGCCGGCCTCCATCACCTCCTTCTACTCACCTCGCACCTTCCCTTCCATCTCTCTGCTCATTTCCTCATAGCAGCCGGCACTAGTGGTGACACCGCTTCCCCAATATGGCTGCCAGGCCCGAGCACAGTCACAGGGAATCCATTCACGAATGTGCCACGTATTCTCGCCAGCCATGGAGGAGAGGCCAGGAGGAATAGGTACGTATAAGGGGACTGGCTAGTGTGGTACGGTGGCCTTGCATAAACAAGGTGACTGTGTCTCTAACTTCATTCAGAAAGGGCTTTGAGAGCCAGAATGTGTTGCTTGCGTAAGTTGTGTTCACTAATTTGTGGCACTGACCTGAAACCCGGCCAGCCTCCTCTACCGCCATGTTCTGGTCCAGTGGTTTGGCTTCAAAGCCAAGTAATTGCCATTGCCCCATCAGCTCCGTATTTCTGATCATTGGAGGTTCTCTATACTGTTGCTAGGAAGGAAGGGATAAGTATGACAGCCAGAAGTGTAACACCTTTTATAAGAAACCATCAGTCAGGGCAACTTATTTCTTGTTAGTTTTCTTTCACAAGCGCGGGCCAGATTTGTGATTGGATGTACCATGACCACGGTTAACCTTACGTTGCCCCATGAGAATTAAAGGTCATCACTTGAAGGATAAGTTCACGTTTTGCAAAAAAACTAAAATGCATATTTGATAATATAACAAAAATAAATAAATATGCATGTCTTTCATTTTCACATTCCAGCGTGGAAAGCATTACAATGGTGATCACTGAGTCAGGGCTGCAGAGCTCAGGCTTATGCACATACTCGTACTGGCAGAGAGATGGGGGAAGGACGGCTGGATGGTAATGAGGACAGCTCTACCTAGACGCCGTATGAGGTGACTTAATGCAGTTTGAAGTCCAGCCGTCCTTCCCTCATCTCTCGTAATTGAAACTCAGTGCAAGCTGTGCCTCGGAAAGGATGTGCAGGAGCCTGAGCTTTGCAGCCCTGATTCACTGATCACCATTGCAATGCTTTTCAGGCTTGAATGCCTTTTTTGTTATATTATTAAATATGCGTTTCTTTCATTTTTGCGACAGGTGAACTTATCCTTTAAAATCATCCTATGGATTTCTTTTTTTATAAGTATAAACCAGTGGGAGGGAACCGCGGCACAACGGCTGTGGTGAAACCAAAAAAATCCCATAATGCTGCTGGGAGTTATACCTGTGGCTGGCAAGAGTCTTGCACTGCCTCATGGGATGTGTAGCCAACCTCCTGTTTATTTTGTGGTGCTACAACTCCCATTATGCACTGCAAGTCCCTGACCAATTCAGGGAGGACCCTCAGAGGCATGATTCTATTTTAGTTGCAGCGGGAGAGCCCAGGTTGCCTTCTCCTCCCAAATGACATTGTGGTCTGAGTTTGTTGGCTCTGCAGTTTTGTAGCCTTGGTCAAGCACCGTCATTTCTACTGCTAAGCCCCCTAAAGTTTGGGCTTGTGTCAAGTAAGCATTACATGGGGGATGAAGAAACGGGGGGAGCTTTGAATTCCGGTCCTTTGTACATGGAGCCATTAAATTCTAATTCCACTTTGATATTTTGGTTTGGGCAAGGCTCAGAATCCTACATCTGCCTTCCTGTGGGGGGTTCATGGGGTGTCATCGTACTGCCCCCCGCCCCTATAATTATAATAACAATGCCCTTTGCAT